GCAAATTTTTAATAATGCAACTTGTAGCTGATTGAACACTGATTAACTTTTATTAAAAATAATTTTTATCAGATCATCTGAAGTGCCAGAAAAATCGTAATCACAATTATGTATGAGACTATATATGTACTAATATATTACCTATAAAGTGTAGAATTATATCAGTTTTTAACTAAAGCTACATTTAAACCACAGTCATACCATGACTTTTTGACTTTTCAAATAAGATAATTTTGAGATTTTTTTCTCTCAATCTTTTTTCATATTGCAGGCACTAACTATTCAATTTCATTTTAGTAATGCAAAAGCTCATACAATTACAGTTTTAAAACACTGGTTTGTCCTGTTTCCGCTCTTTTCTCCCTCATTTTTGTTTTACTAGATCGCATTTACATTGTAACTACTCCAACGTCGCACGAAATCATGAGTACGGACTTGCGAACTATTTGCGGAAGTTATGATGCCCCAGATATACGAAAAACACGGGAGGAACATAACAAGCAGTAGTTTTCGTCGACACGGTAAAAAAAAGTTGCAGGACTGCAGTGGGACTATACTGAACTTTCCGAAGTAGCTTCTGTCCGCGTACTGTAGCGACGACAAATGTTACCTCCGGGCTGTATGTGAGTCCGGGACAAATATATTTTTCACGCATCCTCTTTCCTATGCAAAGTGATGAACCTATTACGTTGAGCGATAGCGCGTTTTCTAGATATCGCGATATCCGTCGCGACGACTTTCTATTTATTCGCGAAATAATATATCAGTGGATTTTTGCGAAGGTCACCAATAAGTCTGGCAGAATAATAAGTCACAGAGAAATAAAATGTCACCGCTTGATTTCCTTTCTCTCTCATTCTGCTTTATTTTCAGAAATATCCTTACTTGAAATATTTCTTTCGATCAATATTTGTTAGGAAGACGAACGAATAGGAAGATGAACGCAATCAAATTTAAGCATCATTGATGCTTAATCCTTTCTTTAGATATTTTTTATATTGCATATTTGGAGGAAACTGGAGTCAAAAGTATAATCAAAAGTACAGATAAGTTGTAACACTTACATAAAAAATATATAAACAAAATATAATACACAAGGGAAAAAAAGGGAAGAAATAATTACAATTTTCTATCTCTTTTTTGCGCTTTTGTATTTTGTTTAATGTTTTTTTATGTAGGTGTTATAACTTATTTGTGTGTTACTTTTGACTCCAAGTCTTCCCTATTTATGCATTATTTTGTAAAACTATCTATGAGTTGAGCGTTTGCTTATGCATTATTTTGTAAAACTATCCATGAGTTGAGTATTTATACTGAAGAAATTGTAGAAAAGAAAGTAAAGGCTCTTCTTCGTATTCCAAGTTAAACATAGCATTATAAGATGTTCGATGTTTATACAAAAGTTCCCGGGGACTTAATTCTGTGACGTTTTATTTCTTAAAATGGTCTCTCCACTGTGTATCGGATACCCGGAAAAAGATACGAAGTTCCACGGACAAAAGTAGAAAGGAAGTGCCTTCATCCGCACGTTCAACGAAATAGAAACCGTCGCTAGAGGTATATTAGATTTCCTCGAAAATAAACGAACGTTGATACGAAAAGTATCGAGAAACCATGTATTACACATCGTGATTGAAATTGTCGCGAGACGTCAAAACGTAAATTGAAATTCGTATTTAAATATTATATATAGCGTTGTGTCGATATCAAAAAGTCCGGTAAATATTGCAACATTATTTATTTGATGCTGCAAACGCCACGGTATACATTATATATCGAGCGAGAAGAACAGTCGATCATAATTTCTATCTCGTTGGTTTCGTTTCGACCCACTTTAGAAGAGTAAATTTTTCACACCTGAATTGACTCGCGGCGCTTGTCATTTGCAATTAACGATTACATTTGTAACAAGGAAATGCAATTTTATTGCAAAACCAGGGACGATAATCTGTTTTACGTTCGTATTAATTTGTACAGAAAGCTCGGTTAGGTACTATATAAATCGATGAATATAATGCAACATAGTTGAATTCTACTTTTCGTATTTTCGACCAAATACATTATTTCAAAATTATATCTTTGTAATACAATTGGTATAACGTTCGTTAATAAATCATGTGTGTAATGTTTGATTGAAATAAGGTAAACGAAGCATTAAGCCGGTAACACGGTTTGACGATACAAGCAATTATTAATGTCCCATAATTATTAGCACACGATTATTCAAGAGAGTGAATCACCGTTTCCCGGATTTGCACAGTCATGTTACACTCATAAATGTGACTATTTTTCATTACTCGCTTCGAAAATGCGATTTAGCATTACACAATTACACAATTAATCGAGATTTTACATATCGATCTTAACGATAGTCATGCACATCGTTTTAATGATGTCAACAATATAAATATCGATAAAGCTAAGAATTATCAAATCATAGGATATTTTATTTGATGACACAAGTCGATGATACAAATTAATACAAATGGAAAACACCCAATAATTTCAAATCATCATATATTCGATACAATATACAGTCATGGACAGAACAGTTGTAGCACTTTTTTTTTTTTAATGGAACTCAACTTTATTCTTAGGGAGATTGAATGTAAATGATTAGATTTATAAGTAAGAAGTATAAATAAGATCTATAAGTAAGATCTATAAGTAAGAACCAATCGTGAGCAAGCTATATTCCGAAACTCATCGAAAAAAAGTGTTGCAATTGTTTTGTTCACGACTGTACATTAACCATCACCGAACCATAATATATTTAGCCTGCAGTATTAAATTCATAAACGGCTGACCCGAACTGTATACTGTTTTATGTGACATTAGGTAATTGATTCTCCGTTATTCAAAATTTGGATTCGAGGATAGAAGCAAACGTGTCATTTTGAATAGTGTCTTTTTACAAAATATAATAGGTAAAAATAAAGATTCGTAAAGTATGCATATATATATATATATATATATATATATATATATATAGCGTGATTATTAAAGGCATACCGTTGCAAGCTTTTATCGGCAGAATTAATATTTCTCTTAACTCGCTATACGAAATGCGTTAACGCGCGAATTCGAGGAGCACAGTATTTACGTCGAGCCGACTTACTTAATAGCGAGAAGAAGTTCGAAAGTTAAAGGGCTAAACTTACTGTTGCATTCCGACCTGTGCAAGAGACTTCTCGCCGGATTACCGATTAAAAGTTTAACAGCCCGAACTTTTCAGCGACTTTATACAAAGCGACATGCCGAAGTCGACTTGGAGCGCCGGTCGCACTGTCTTAGAGCAGGATGTTTTAAAAGCTGATTATGCATCGGTAAGAATCGTCGATTTATTTCAACGGATTCCTGAATTCGTAGGTCGCGCGTGATCTGGTTGATCGTTAAAAACATTGTCTTGACTTTCCTCCTGCCAAAAATATTAACCGGACGAAGTACTTCATGAAAGTAAAACATATTCGGTCCTGTGCGCGTTATGAAAGCGCCACATAATATTAGCATATCCTTTTGGCCGTATAAAGCATATCTCTATGATAGGGCACGTCGAATATCGTGCGACCGAGAATGAACGGGGAGATTGATGGAATTTTTGAGTTTGTCCAAATATTCGTCTCCCTCTCTCATTTTTTCTGTCCATCGCGTAAACCGACATGACACCATCCCTCCACATAAATATACATATATGCATGTATGCACGTTTATAGTATATATGCTATAGCATATGCACTGTTATTTCAAAAGTGTTTATTTGAAAAGTGTTTTATTTCGCGAGATGTCCTAAATGCATATAACTATGCATATAATTATGCATATCTAACAGATTTAGAAAAGAAACTATTTTTAGAACAACAATCATAGAATAGGAAGCGACCATATCACGAAAGAGAAAAGAGAGAAAGAGAGAATAAGTCATTGGAAAAAAACTGAAATATTATCTTTTAAAAGCGTGGACATTAAGAGCGTTATGAAGTTACGTAACAAAGGAGAAGTTTAGGTGCCAAGAATATTAAGTTCTCCCAGCGACGCGCGCGCTCGAAAAGAAGAAAAAAGCGGAGCGAAAAAGGGAAGGAAAAAGAAAATGAAAGTGTCGGGAATATAGTGAAGAGGGAAAAATTAAAGCGTTGTTGAGGCGGCACAGAAGAAACAGCGTGTGATGTATATTTCGCCGTTGGAGATGCGACGTCTGTGGGCGAACTAAACTGAGACAATATTTGCATATCTATTTGTAGTACGATTTGAAGTACGATTCCACGCACTCCGCGGAATGACACGAGCTCTTCCCGCCGCAATACCGACAAAACGTCAGGGAGCGAGCGGAACAATGAAAGCTCTCGAAACAGACGGGGAGGAGGAGATGAAGCTCTCGCCGACGAAGCACCTCGTCTTGTGTCCAGAAGAAATTTCCGAGTGAAAACAGCGAAGCTATTCCCGGCGACCAACCGCCTCGTTGCTTCCTCCAGTTCTACAGGGAGAAACTGAGTCGTCCCCGTTACAGTCCTACCTCATCTGCATTTCGCTTTTATATACTTTCTTTCTCCTTATTTCCGCGCCGTCTTTATGTAGCGAGGCGAGGCAGAAGGAAGAAAAGCACTCTCTACTCGCGTAGATATTTCTCTTTATGTACACTTGACATATAAAAATTTCAACTCTGAGAATAATTCGTGCCGTTTGTTAAACACAGCTTCAGACGGTAGCGTTACTGTTGTGTTTTCGAGCGTGATAACCAACTTAAAGAACAGTGAGACCAGATTGTAAAATAATATGCTAGAAACCAGGAGAATCTGATTTAAATTCTCATTGAAAGATCAAGCAACATGTGAGATACAAAATTCAACGTATAGCATATAAAAAATAAGAAAGTCAAAATGATATTGCATACCAAGATACGTGAATTTGTCTTAAATGCCTAAATTATTTTGAATAACCTTAAATGACAAAATTCTAAGATATATGTAATATTTCATATTTGGTTGCATTACTGAAAAAGAATCATGAATCGTCGTGTATGTCCAATTAATGCCCAATCACCGTACGATGAAGTTTCACATGAAATTGACAATAACGTTTTAACGTTTAAATTGCTTAAAGATAGACATCGCGTTCAAGCCGTGGATGGACAAATTGATGACGAGCCTATCATTGATGTTAATTGTTCGGATAAATATGGTAAAATATTATCATAATAATTGTAAAACTAATAGAAAAATTTAAAAATAAAATCTATTATGATTTATGATTATTATTTCTACTTAATTATGATAGAAATACTGACAAGATTATTTGTAAAATTGAGATACATGTTCTTCAAATTTATTACAAAATATATATCTTTCAAGGTAAGAAATGCAAGAAAGGCTGTCCAAAAATTAATGTAATACATAGTCAAGAACCTACTCCTAAAAAACCGGAGGAAGAAATGTTATTATTAAGAACAACAAGACAAATTACTCACAATATTACCGACAGTATGAAACACAGTCTTGAAGTGGAATTTAAGTCACCACGAAATTATATCCCATTGCCAGAACCAGAGCCTATATCCGCCTATGATTATTCAAAAAAACCTGTTATCTTGCAGAAAAAAAAACTTGAGAAAAAAAAAGGAAATAAAAAAGAAAATAAAAAGGTAAAAAAAGGAACGAAAAAAGGAAAAAAAAAATAATGAAGATAAACACCAAGCAACACCATTTGTGAGAAATATTTTATTTGTGTAAGTAGTATGGAAAGAAATTCTAATTTGCAATGTACAACAAGACCAATGATAAATACTTGGAAAAGTAAACTCGTGAATCCAATAAAACTCTGTTAAAGTAAATATATCTACAATTCTTTGTTAATAATATCAAAAAAAACTCTTTAAACATAATAAATATAACAAAAACTTTGTCAAATACGAATTAATGAAATTTTATCACCATTATTAGGAGTAATTCTCAAATGATAATCATATATTTTCTTGGCACTTATTCTTCGGCTATTATTGCAACATAGATCGAACGATTTTGACGTTAGATACAAACGTCTTATAGATTTACGAGTTGCGAAACTGAAGTGTTCGCCACTTTGTCGAAAACATGGAGGCGTGCGCAGGGTCGAATAACGGAGCGATAAATCACCGGTGGTATTATATTCTTGCCCGTCTTGGGAAACAATAGATCATATTGCGTATATATACACATATATACATACGGATACGCTGGTATTAAACCGTTTTTGGGCCCATTGTCGCCTACCACCATCGTGACGGCGACGACCTTTTTAAGCCGCGCTTTAAGTTCCACCCCTCCCCCTCCCCCTCTCTCTCTTTCTCTCTTTTTCTCTCCCTTGCATCGATAAATCACCACGATTTTATCTGCTGGTAAGAGAAACGCGAACGCGAACGCGAACGCGAGCACGTTCAAAGGGAATCGGCTCTCCGATAAAGAGTTTGAAAAAGGAAAGATCTCCGCAAATATTCCATTAGGAAGCGTTCACTAAGAACCGGTGTAAAGTATCACGAAGCTCTCGTATTGCTTCCAATGAGGGAAACCAGAAAGCCAAGGAGTATGTGGTAACGGAAAGAAATGCGAGAGAATCGATGTGGATAAAGTGACAAAGGGATCTATTTTTCCGGAAGTGTAAAATATTCATTGTCGAAGTGTCAGCGAGAAAACGATCTTCACGTCGTTCTTCGATAGTGCGGTTTCAAAGCTTTTAGGTGGTTCCGATGCTCTTTCTTCATCTTTCTTCCTTTTTCCCTCATGAATGTATAATTAATCGATATTCGAATGAGATTCTAATTAAAAAAGCTTCCGTGTCTAACGTTCCTGTTTCAGATTTCTTCCCAAAGAGAAGAAAACTGGAAAAGTGAGCCTCTAGATCTCCTTTCGTTTACTTTGATTATGTCACGGTCGTCACATCGTGTCTGCAATCCCCTAGATTTTTACGACTTAAGCTTCGAGTTTCCCGCCCTTATGAATCAGATGTACTTACGAGTGCTATGATTTGCGAGGAAAAATGAAGGAGAAATGGCAAATGGCAAGAGGTAACGCGACGTGAGCCGATAAAAGATCGCGCACATGACGTTTTTCACGCGATGGACGTACCAAGTGACGGATCGTTGCTGGCAAAAAGGTGCTGTAGTTACATTTGAAAATTGGAGAGGGATTACTGTGTGTTACTACCACTACAGTAGGGTGCGACGTGAAAGGTACATCCGCAATCGAGAGGGGCGGGATGATGAAACGCGTCATTTGTCTGCGCGGACCCAAAATACTCACGGTACTCAACACGAAGAACATCGCGTGCGGTTACGAAGCTGTAAAAGCCTGGCAACGACAAATGCATCCGCTTGTTGCAAAGGCGCGCGAGTGCATGCACAAGTGTTAGTCCGTGCATTGGATGACTGTAATTGGGCGCTGGTTACAGAATTCATTGCCGCGTTTAGGGCCTTAAACGGCCGGGAGATAAATCACGATTAAACACGATCATCAATCTAAACTCCAACATGTAACGCCATGTAAAACAGAATGCGGCATTGAGAGGAATAGAAAAAAGAAGTAAACATATGTGAGTTCCTCGAAAATTTAACGCGTAATTTTTTAAGCGATTATATTATAAATATTTATTCAATTAACGCTGCGTGATTCTGTCGATGTTCATTATATTTGTTAATGTCATTGGACATTGAATGCTGTTTGCGATCAATTTTTCTTTGAAATATTAATCATTGTCATGTATCGAAATATTTGTCGTATAGCATGCGTTAGATCTGCGTAATATTCATGCGTAATACACGTAATCTCGCGTAATCAAGGGGCAGAAATTTCGTTGCCACATTTAAGACTAGCCTAACCATAACATGGACCGGCCTCAGTATCGAATCCGACGTTGAGCAAAGCTGGTGAAACCGCAATTTACATGCGCAACGTACTGCCCTTAACGCAGCATGTATGGCTATAGTCGGGCTAATGGAGGATCTTAGTACAAACAGAATTGATGATTGCGATAACAAGGGCCTAAATTTATTTCTGAACAATATTTCAAAATCAGTCACGCATATTTCACTTGTTAATAAATCTTTTTCATAAAATCTGTATATTCCGTATACAGGAGTTTCAGAGTCATAAACTAGCTCGTTAATTGATCAACGAGTTTGATCATTAAAGTTTAATGCGAGAATAAAATAAAAGGAAAGTAAAATATATAGGGTGTTTGGAAAATAATGATAAATCTTTTGCATAGGGGCAGAATGGACTAAACTGAGAAGAAAAGTCCTCTACCATTTTGCAATTTTCGCAATACAGTTAATAAGATATTAATTGCTAAAAATTGCCGAAAATCTTCAATAATTTTTTACTCGAATACTATCAACTTTACAGAAATACTGCAAAAGACGAAAATTGTTTATTTTCTTTTCATAAAACTCTAAGAATTTTTTCAGAAGTTTTTATCAGCTTTTTAATACTGCATTTTTTCATTTTTACCAACATGAGATTAATTAATATAGCGATTAATATCTTGTTAACTATTACGAAAATTGTAAAATGGTAGAGGACTGTTCTTTTCAGTTTAGCCCCTATGCGAAAGATTTATCATTATTTTCCAAACACCCTGTGTATACATATATGTATATGTATATATATTCTGCATAAACGTTATCATAGATATTTTAACGCGGCAGGTAAATATGCGCAATTTGCCATAACGATCAACGATTTCCATTTTCACACGCAAAATACGGTAGTAATGATATTATTTGGAAGAATAAAAACAATAAGATTTAAAAGCGTTCTTTTCATTGCGAAATGAAAAGCTTAATGAAAAAGTACACATAATGAACCCATAAAGTAAGAAGCCCATAAAGAGTAAGACTCTGTGTAACTACCTAATGTTTCTGTACAGAAATGTTTCAGCTACATACTCTGAGTAAATCATTAACGAGTATCAAAACGCATAGGTGGAAATCTGATAGTAATGCCAATGTGAAATCGACACGCAAAATTATTCACGCGATTCACTGATCATACACGCTCGAGTATAATGAATGCGAATTCGCGCATGTATCTGCGCATGATAGAAATGCGCTGTATAATTCCGCGTTTGTGCATTACAGACAAATCGAGATTAATTGAAAGAACAATTAAATCTGAATTATTAAAACATTATCATAATTAAACTCGAGGTAGATAATAACTCTTCAAATGGGGAAAAAAATCCACGACAACATTAAAATTATTCAAACTAATACAGAATAATTGCTTGAAATAATTTCTTACATTTAAGGCAAACGATTAAAATGTATACATACATTGTCTAAAGAAAAGATATCTCTAAAATAATTATTATCTCAAATCGTAGTCCTTGATATTGAAATTCAATTAAAAAAAATAATTATCACTTTAAATAATGTTATAGACTGTAGCCTTTGATTGATCTAACAATAAGATACACTTTTATCATAGATAGTATTCTGTTGAATACATAATATAACTACAACTAACTATAATAAATCGAAAATATCGATATAAGCCAGGTTTGATTATTTTAAAACTTGTATTCTGCAATATGAGTCTGTGAATATAAAATCGACTGCAACAACCCACGAAGTTCAACGCTGCCCGATCGTAAAAGCGTTCGCGTGTAGTTTAAACGATCTTTCTGGCTCCTATTGTATAATTCAATAAAATTTGAATTTATTGCCTTGCTTGCGATGCGAATGGCGATTGTTCAGAAACGGTTCATTGGAGAATTCCGCGTATGAGAAATCTCACGGATGTATACTTTTCTATTCTTATCTGTATATGTTTCATAAGAATACATCCGTTTACAGTGATACATATTATATTAAATCATTCTTGATCTTTAAATTTTCGCTTGAAACCCCCATCGAGAAAGATTCGTTTCTTCAAATTGGAAGTAAACGTCCCCACATCGCCCTATCGTTTTCTTACGTGTCTTTTTGCCGGAGGCACTATATACCCAAAACGCGAGCTTGCCATTGTGTGCAGGAAATGCACATTTATACAGCGTTCTCGACACAGGAGCCAAGGCAGCTTCTGATCTTTCTCTCCGTACTCCGAGGCATTGTATTCAGCGTACCACGCGATAACCGGCATTATCCGGACACGTTGTGATTTTCCGCGGAAAATAAACCCACCGCTGTTTCCGCGGCGTGCCAGGAATACGCGACGTAGAGTCGACAAGAGCGAAAAGTCTCGACGGTTGACCGAGCCAACGACGACGACGACGACGACACGATGACGACGACGTGAGAGAGGAAAAGAGAGGTTCGACTATACACGATCGGTGAACACACAGCGAAATTGATCTTATTTTCCGCTCTCACGCATCCTTTCGCCATTTTCCATTCGCCTTCCAAGCGTTTCGATAGTATTTGCGCACCGAGTGTATTGCTGATAAGGCTGGAATAATCGCTTCGCGACTATCGCGTTATACAGTCGAGAGACCTCGAAATGATTCTTCAGCATGCTATAGATGCTATGTATTATAATTGAAGACGATATAATAGTAATCCGCGGAAGCATTTAGCGTTAGATATTTACTTCTCACGTATCGAATTGGAGTAAATACGATTACATTGTCACGTGTAAGAAAAAGTAATAA